GAAAACAACATGATCAATATCGAGTCCTGCCTCATTCCCTGATTCATCTGATTCTACAAGGTGTGATCATTCAGAATCAGAGGTTCAAGCACATAGTTAACAGCTTCTTGTACAGTAAAATTTCGAATTCTGCATGTTTTTGTAGGAGCTACCGGAAAAAGCATAATTAAAAAAAAATTGTGATTTTTGTACCTTAACCCGACTATATTGCATATTTACAATAAATTAATTAGGAGATCAATATAGTAATCTTCAATGCTTGTTTAAGTAAATAATGACTCTTTTCGATAACTTCAATCTTAGGACATATCAATTTTATGCATTTAAGTATCAGATTTTCATGTGACAAAAAAAAAGCATTTAAGGTAGTAACTAAAACTTACTTAAACAGCATTTTTGTTATGAGCTGCCATTATACAAAAAAAAAAAAAAATCTTGTGTTTGTTTGCATCAAAATAGTAAATAAAGGTCTAAAATACATGTTTCAAAATAACTTTTATTGTAGATAAGCTTTATTACTAAAATATTTATCACCAAATCATTTGTTGCAAAAATGCAACAAAAACAGGGAAAAGGGTTAAACAAAAATGACATACAACAAGGTTTATATCTTTTCTTAGTGCTTGGTTTAATTGTTTGTTAGATTTGTAAAAAACTAATGAATAATTAATAAAATAAACTTTTAATAAAATAAGTAACTATAGTTAGCTATTTGAGTAAAATTTAATAGTAAAATTTTTAAAGAATTTCTAGAATGTTTCCAATGATGTTATGCACTAAAACTCCTATGAACTAAACGCACTTGAATAAATTAACAAGTCTGTATAATGCGCCTGGAAAATCGCGTTTATTTTACATACTCAAAATGGAGAAAATGGAGAAGACGAGCTTCAACTCAAACAACAAGATTTGTTTTTCTTGGTATACATTTATTAATAAGTTTTAATCAAAAAAAATTTGCTCAGACGTTTTTTTTTAATCATTCTCATTAATATGAACACAACATGTCTCGGGACTTGGTAGTCCCTTTAAAAGATATTGCGCTTAAGCCAATATATATTTTGTCTTTGTATTCAAGTTCATTAGAACGTACTATTGCTTGGTGTACAATGTTATTAGATAGACATTTGTTGCTCAATGAGAAGGCAGATTTGTTAACGCGGTTGCAGTTTTTTTTTTACTTTAATATTGTGATTGTATAAAATAATTTCATTGTGAGAACCAATTATGGATTCGATGTTTGACATAAAAGAATAACTGATCTTAATTAAGTTTTTTTTTTAATATTTTGTGATGGCTGTGGCTGACAAGAAAGTGATGCTTAACTAGGGTTATAGAGCCTTTACCAATTTTTGCAGTGACATTTTTGCTTAATGGTGAGTTGTACCACATGATATTGCACTTGTGCTTTTTTCTTTGTATTGGTTTTATGTTTGGTTAATAGGTGAGTGTATAATTGTATCTAGATTTTTTTAATGTATCATTGTAAGCAGGAAAGAATTTTTAAAAATAACTTCCCTTGATGATGTGACAGACTGTTTTATTTCCATAAATTGTAGCTTTTTATAATTTTAAGTAGATGGTTAGAATCAGCATGTATTTAATTAAGGGTATTATCCACATTACTATAAGGTTAGAATAAATTGTCAAAAATATTTAGGGTTAGATCAAGATAATTTCAAATTTTCATATTGAAGTTTATAGAAATGAGAAGGTTGTGAATTTTAAAAATTTGCACAAGATATTTTTTAATTTTTCCGTTTGTTGTCAACTTTTATTTTTTTTTAAAATCGCCATCTCTATATAGACCAAAATGGTTCTTGTTATAAAATTGCAAAGCTAAAACAAAATGAAAATACTAACTAGTTGGCATACCTATGCGCCATCAAATGTCCCTATGGTGATATTAAATAGACCAGCTTCTTTTTTTAAGACATTTTATTCGATTGTTAAAAAAGTAAAGATTTTTTTTGCATGCTGTATAAATGCACTATTTTCTTTGCTTAAAAATGTATGCTGCTTCGAAAAATTAATTGCCTCTATTAGAAGATTTTTGGAGGTTGATAGATAAAGTCATTGATATTGAAGAGTTTTTTTTGTTAACACCTTAAAACCAATTGAATACGCCTTGGATGCTTTACCATTGATTTAAATAAAGTTTTGCTCTTAATTCTGAATTGATATTCAAAAAAAGAACTTTTGAAATTCTACCTAATTCTTTGAGTGATTTAAAAGTTGAGAATTAAGATAATTGAAAAATTGGCTTTGTAGTTGTTGTTTTTTTTTGTGATCTTTTGTTTTTGTGGTCTTTTAATGTTATAAAACAGTCAGAAGTTCCATTTATTTCCATATTATTAAAAAACGAATTAAATAAAAAGTTGCTTACTTTCTTGTAAGGAATTGGTATGCTGATTTTTTGTTGATGTTGCAAAATGTTGATTGAAACAATTGGTATAAAAAGTTTAAAAAACATGTGGAAACCTAAAAATATGTGGAACAATGAACTTACAATAACTCGTATAATTTGGGTCATGGTATATTCCACACCAACAGTTTCTATACTTATTCTTTATATAATCTTTTTACTAAACTTTTTTTCAGACTATCTGCAGCTTATTAGGACCATCTCCCTGTTAATTATTTTCGAAGAAAATAAGAGTTTAAATGTAAAACCTTTTTTCCTATAAGAAAGAAAGATTTCTTTTAACATATGCTTAACGCGCAGATTTAATGAATTTATATAATTAATTATTATAATAAAGCACATTAATAACATAAGTATCTCTATTATGTTTATAAAAATTTTAAGCTTTATTTAAATTTTCTCCCTTTTGTTTTGTTATAGCATATAGTATATGCTATGCATATAATATCAATATAACTTTAAAAGTGATTTATTTTTATATTTTCGAAAATTAAAAAAGATTTTATATATATATATTTTAAAAAATTAAAAACGATTAAAAAAAAAATTAATCATGCAAGCAACAGGATTTGAAGCCCAGCCTTAAAATTTAAAAACGCAGCGAGCTAACCACTTTAGCCACTAAGGCATACTAATCTAAGAACTTTTAACACTATTCAATAAACAAAAGACTTTACAAAATGACAAATAGATGCTATAAATAAAATTAAAGAGATGAACAATGCAACTTTAAGTAAAACTGTAAAACTTGGTATAATTTTTAACATTTCATAGTTTGAAGTTTACATGAGTTAGATATTTGCATACACTTTCATTCATATTTTCTTATAAAAAAATGCTGCAGCTTTTATTTGCCATTAACACAGGTGTGATGGCTGTTGTGAGTTTCATGTCAAATACTTACAAAGAGCATTAATTGGTCAATATACAACATGATGATAGCATCAAGTAGTTAATTTACGTTGTTTTTTAAAAAAATTGCTTTTTAAAAAAAATTTCTAGTTATAAAAAATATTTATAAGTTAAAGTTACTGTGCTTTAAACTTGTATCACTACTATTGGAATATTTAATATTGTAGATGGTTATGTAGATGGATAGATTGTAGATGGTTATGGAAACTTTTTGAACGTTTTAAAGGTTTCTTAAAAGTTTTTAAAATTTTGTGAAACTGCCTTCAAGGCTCATGACACCATTTTGATGTTATTGATGAACTCCGGTCATCATACTTCAAGCCACTCAGCAACATTTTAACACTGGAATAGTCTTGGTGTAGAGATACACAGCGTGAGTGAAGCAACTACCGATCAGAATGGATGGGCAATTGCTTTGGAATGGATTGCTTTCATTGCACAGTGGTAACATTCCATTGAAATAGGTCGCCAAAAATATAATTGTTGTATTTATGTGGATATTATCTTAATGTGGATAATATCTTCTAAGCCTTAATTAAGTAAAATAGATATTTAATATAATATTTTTAATTTTTTTGTTTAATCAGCTCATAGGCGCAGCAAGGAAGGGGGTGTGATCCACATGAGCGCTGGGGGCAACAGTTGGTGCCCCCAGCACCCATTATTTATACATGATACTTTTGGCCATTGTTTAAATAATGGACAATTTTCAAATGCTCCAAACTTGTTATTTTCAAGTCAAAATATGTTTTGCAAAAAAATTGTGGTGATTGAAGCCCGGGATCAAAAATACCCAAAAAAGTTAGACCCCTCCCGCCAAATATGAGGGCAATGAGTCCAAAAAAAGATTTTTGCTGCTATCTTATACTAAATTTAAATTCATTGAACATTCTCTGAAAGTTATGATCATGTTAAGTTTACAACACCCTCATTTTGGGGAGGCAGAAAACTTTATTATTATTACTACAGTTGTATCATTCAAACTTTAACAGATTATTAAATGAGATTTAAGGTCTGTCGATTTGTTTCTCAATTAATTATAAAACTAATAATAAAAAAAAAAACTAATAAATAAACTTTAGAGATATTCTTGTTTCCAAAATCCAATGATTTGAACTGAAATAATGCAATTTTTAATTTTAAATCTTAAATATTTATTTTAAATATTTTATATTTTATTTTAGATCGCTCATCATGTTAGGTGTGGCGTGATAAATTGGACAACATTGTGTCAAAGAAGTGTTCGTGGTGTAAACTAAGATTTTCCCATCAATCATTGAAAGGACAAAACTATAGTTGATAAAAACATACTTATGTCCTGAAAGGTAAACTTTAACAGGGTGTAAATTAAGAACTTTTTTTTAACTTCTTCTTTAATTTTTAATACCACTTCTTTATTTTTCTTTATATACTCCAGCATAATTGGTCCACAGAATCTAATATTCTTAGACATTAAGTTATTCTATAAAATATTGTTTGAATCTGAATGTACATATAGCCGAAGAGGTGATGTGACTAACAGATCGAAATCTTGAAGATTATTTTGATTGGAATTATGAAAGCGTTGATGGTATTTTGTGTGACGTGGTATTCTGTCCATACCCCAACTACTAATTAGAATTAAATCAAAGTCTTTTTTTTATCATCCAAATGTTTTAAAATTTATTTTTCCTGTAGTTTCGCAAGCCTCTTGGGTGTGTGATCCATAAGGACTAAAACATAAAGTTCACATAGACATAGACAGAAACAGACTGGCAAATAAAATTCACAGTCACATAGACAGACACATTAATTCACAAAGTCACATAGACAGACACATAGAGTTATTTTTACACATAAAGTTTATTGTTAGGTTTTTGCATTTATTAATATTTTGCTTTTTTATTGACAATAAAAACCAATAGGCTTTTATTACAATTTTTTAAACTTTACATCAGATCAGAAAAGTTTCTTTATATTTTCAGACTGATGTTTTTATAACAATGATAACAATGGCAAAGTTTACAGTTGGGACAAGACATTTTCTGTCCCCAACTTAATTAAATTTAAATATTTACAAACTGCTTCACCTAAAATATTGCAAAATAAACATGTACAGTAAGTTTCACAAAAGATCATCCCTAAAATGTTAAGTCCCCCCTTTTTTTTGAGGACACCCTTTATAGAGATATTAATGGCATAAAATTTAGCTACTAAATACTATTTTTTTTAAATATGTTGCTTATCAAAGTAAACCAACTTAAATTGTATATTTGCATTGAATAACTTAACTGTTATAGCTGTTTTAAAAAGTTTAGAAACAACTTCTTTTAAAAATAACTCAAACTTTTTTTTATCAATTTACTAAGAGTTACCTTTCTTTACTTTTTCTATAACATCAAAATACAATCTATTGTGTGTGTGTGTTTGTTTATATATATATATATATATATATATATATATATATATATATATATATATATATATATATATATATATATATATATATATATATATATATATATATATATATATATATATATATATGTGTGTGTGTGTGTGTGTGTGTGTGTGTGTGTGTGTGTGTGTGTGTATATATATATATGTGTGTGTGTGTGTGTGTGTGTGTGTGTGTGTGTGTGTGTGTGTGTGTGTGTGTAAATATATATATATATATATATATATATATATATATATATATATATATATATATATATATATATATATATTCATTTTTGTTAATTAAAGTGTATGTGCTTCTGTGTGCTTGTGAGATAGAGAGAGTAAGTGTAATAAATAATAATTTACTGATGAGTTTCTTTTACAGATTCCAACCGAGATGTCACATAAGCTTCAGTGATCTGATAATAAAATATAAAGTTTTAGAATTTCTTTATTTACTCCACATTTATATTATAATAATTTTTTATTTTATACTTTATATTTGTTATTTATTGAGTATTATATTTGAATATATTTCAGAACTATTTACCTCTTATTAAAACACTTACCTCAGGAGTAAACTGCTCTAGAAGATGAGTGTCTGTAGCCTGAATAAATGGACATGAAGAAACCATCTTTTGCCACATATTCAGTAAATAATATAAACTGTTTGGAGCAAAATGAAGTACCTGCATATGCAAACCAGAAAAGATAAAAATTTATCAAAAAAAAATTAATTTTTTAAAATTGTGTTGTCAACATTTTTTAACTTACTATTTTTATAATACTATGCTTATGACATTTACAAAACAGTATTTTAAGGAAACAATAGTTGTACTATAAAATATAGCAAAATATATTACAACCTAAAATGAAAAACTTAATTAAAAAAGCATTTTTTACACAAAATGACTTTGAAATGACTATTACAAAGTCAGATATACCAAACAAACAGAAAAATAATATTTTTATTGGTCTCATATAATAACAGATTTTAAACACATGTGTTAAAATAATATACCATATAGAATCAAATAATTTATAAATATTTTAGCAAAAAGCACAGCATAACAGTATTGTTAAAATTAAATAAAAAGAAACATTTGCCAATGCAATACATCAGTTAAGGCTCCTTATCTGTGGTGAAGGCTGCTTATCTATGAGAAGGAAAACTCTAATATAAAATCCTTACATAATTATGGGTTTTGGTAAAAGCTTGTAAATCTTAGTTGGTAACTGTCCTAGTGACTATCATTAAAACACTGCGCCAAATAAAATAGGATGAACAAAAAAGCATTCAGTTATCAAATATTGTTTCAAATCATCTCCAATGCCATTTTTATTTTAAAAAAAATGATATTGTGGAAATGCAAAATTTCACCTTGTTAATGAGTTAAAAAATATGATTCACAAAAGCATAGCAGATTAACTTCAAATTTCTTTTTAAAATAGACTATAAGAAATGTTTTGTACACTTTTTGCTATTTGCCACTGGCAATTTTTACTTACAAATGTAATCTGTTTGTCTTGATAATTGCAATGATAAATAAGCAAAATGCATTTATAATTGAGTACACTTTTAGGCATTTTACTGCCTAAAAGTGTACTCAATTATAAATTTAAATTTGAACTAAAAGTCTAAGAAGCTGCCATAAGCCTTCAGTATATATCATTTATATATTATACATTTGTATTAAATATTGAATAAGCTATATTTACAACATTTACATTAAATATTCAATGAGTAACATTAACAACAATTAATGTAATAATATTTATACATTTTAAACATGAGAATGCTTTATTAATTGCTATGAATATAAAATTAAACTTGATTATTGATGTAACATAATGTAATAAAATTTAATATGATAAATATATTATGCACCAATAAATAGAAAATGAAATAAATTGAAAAGTTTAAACAGTGATAATCAAACTGGATTGCTTCCTTAAAACATAAAGTCTAAATACATGAACAATTTTTTCTAAATTTAATGTGTTATATTTGTTATTTCCTTTTTAATTCTTTTAGTTTAATTTTTAAATGCACCTTTAATATTAATAAATAACAATAAGTCTGTTATAAAATTGAACAGTATTTTTCTTTATTTTTTTTTCATTTTTACTCTTCAATTTATTGTTACTTTCATAAAAAAATAAAATGAAAATGCTTGGATTTGGATTTATCATTATTGCTTTTTTCGTCGTGGTTACATTAACATTTCTCATGATCATTACATAACATTCCTCATGGTTATTACTTAAAATTTATCATGGTTATATAAATACAAGAAATGAAATAGTGTGCTAAAAATATGCAATCTTTTTTAATTTTTATATAATTTATGCAAAATATAAAACAAACTAAAATAAATAGATCTGTATTACTAGTAATTTTAGGCTAAAATTACTAGTTTGCATGCTGTATTACTATAAAAGCATTTAAAATTGGAGAATCAAAAATATACTCTTAAACTTGTAACAGTAAATTTTGTGATCATCTCCATAACTTCTTTATAACAATCAGTTTTCATTATCTCTCCTAGCTGGTAGTTAGCCTTAATTCGTGCAAGAAGTCGACAAAATTCATGATAGTTATCTGTATTTTCCAAAGCCTGAAAGAGAAAAAATACTTTTTACAATTTCAAAAAGACTTTTGAAATTCACATACTGACAAATAATTTTTATACAAATATATTAATTTATATACAAATATATAAGTAGTTATCCACTATCTTTAAGTTTTCTGACTAAAAATATAAATATTTAAAATCAGTTTAATAAAAATCAACAGTAAAAATCCGTTCTATAAAACTTTTTAACAAAGTAATTCAACAGTGGAAATCAGTTTTATAAAACTTTTTAACAAAGTATATCAACAGTAAAAGTTAGTTCTATAAAACTTTAAAGGTATGCATTACTTTTATGGACGTAACTAATTTTTTGCTAAGTTGTACTAAGTTGCACCTACTTAAACATAAGTTATAAATAATTATTTTGACGATTTCACATGAAATTCTTGTTTAATTTAACCTAATAATTTAAAAAAAAAAAATGAAATTAATTTATAAACCCAATTTAAATAAATATTAAATTACTTTTCTCTTGTTATAAAGAATGCCTGCCCAAATCTAAACTCAGTAGATTTACTTCACTGCCTCTATCCATAATTAAGTTAGTAGATGCATGCATACGCTACTGCACCTATGCCTATTTAAGTCTGTTGGTGGATGTAAACTCCATAGTACCTATCTCTGTATAAATTAGTATACTCCTCTGCGACTACATCTAAATCAGTCAATTTATGTATGCATTGATACACTTATTCTATGAAACTTTGAAAAATGAAAATAAATAATAATTATAACTATATAACTATAAATAAAAAACAATAACAGTTAAAAAATATAAAACTAATTAAAAAGAAAAAAAACAATAAAAAGAAAAAATCTCCTTAAATAAGGATTTGAACATGCAACCCTGGCAGTTGCTCCTCAAAAGAAGAAGATTTTAACACCTATTGCACTATATCAATATAATGATGAACAGAAAAATTAAAGTATATAAACTTTTTTTGTGTACAAATAAGATTTCTATTATGTAAACCTTATTTGCACGTGCGTACAAATAATGACTTCACACTTTTAATCCAAAAAGGTAACAGGCTTGGTTTTAGCACAGATTTTATAAAAAAGGGTGGATGTTATTTATTCAGAAAATGTAATAATTATATTACAAAACATGTCAAGAATTAAAAACATTATGTTGTTTTTATTATCTCATAATTATATAACAGTTAAATTAGCAAAGGAAACTATTTTTATTATTTAAAAGGCTAACAGAACTTTGGGTGAAAGCAAATTAGGAACAAAAAACAATATTGTAAATGAAGCCATAAAGAATTTTATTATAAGTAAAATTTCTTCCTTATTGTCAAGCTACAGAAAGTTATTATGGTTGTAAGTTTTTGACTTACAAACATAATAACCTTGTTAATAGTTTTCAAACCAACAGGTTTGAAAACTATTAACAAGGTATACAATGTTTTTAAATAGTCGCTTTTGATTGATCTTTCTATACCTTGTGAAAAAATGTTTTATTGAACATATCTTGGCTATTTTAATATAGTATTTGAACCACCTGTTTCTGATACTTGTCTAACATAATACAATCTCCACCACATGGTTAAAAATTGCAATGAGATTAAAAAAGCTAATTTTTTATAATGATAAATAATAATTTCCTCTCACTGGAAAGTTAATCTTTCCAGTGAGAGGACATTCTTAATTGTTATGTGATTTTGGTAGCCCAGTAATTTTTATGCAATTTTTGGTTAATTGTAGTACTATAAACAGAATTTATGATTTTCTGATTTATACAACTTAAAAGAATTATGTTAAAAAAGGAGTTCACAAACAAAGAAATATGATTAAAATACAAACAGAAATTAACTACAAAATAATTTAGGTCATCCAGTTCAACTTCTAAAATAAGGAAAGACACATCCATTCCATTAAACAAATAAAAGAGAAAACCATTTTATTAGCTCAGCAAACTTCAAAGGAATCATTTACTTATTGTTTATGGGGCTGAATGGATATTCAAGTTTAACATTGTCGTTTAGTGGATGATGCAACAGATAATAATTCAAAAGGCGATTTTAAATGTATTTGTGAAGATTAGAGTATAACTCATAAAACTATTTCACAAATGTTTGGTAAATTACATTTAGTGAAAATATGATTTGATGTCTAAAATTTGTTTAGCTTTTTTAACAAACTAGTTATTAAGCTTATTAAAAAGAAATTAAGAGATTAGGTGTAAACTCGCTACTCATTAAGCTTATTAAAAAGAAATTAAGAGATTAGGTGTAAACACACTACTCGATAAGGTTATTAAAAAGAATTTAAGAGATTAGGTGTAATCTCACTACTCATTAAGCTTATTAAAAAGTAATTGAGAGATTAGGTGTAAACACACTACTCATTAAGGTTATTAAAAAAAAATTAAGTGATAAGGTGTAAACAAACTACTCATTAAGGTTATTAAAAAGAAATTAAGAGATTGAGTGTAAACATACTACTCATTAAGGTTAATGGAGATTAGGTGTAAACACACTACTTATTAAGGTTATTAAAAAGAATTTAAGAGATTAGGTGTAAACTCACTACTCATTAAGGTTATTAAAAAGAAATTAAGAGATGGAGTGTAAACACACTACTCATTAAAGTTATTAAACAGAATTTAAGAGATTAAGTGTAAACACACTACTCATTAAGGTTAATAAACAGAATTTAAGAGATTAAGTGTAAACACATTACTTATTAAGGTTATTAAACAGAATTTAAGAAAACACAATCAAAAACTTTAAACTTTACTTTAAAATTTACATGTTATTTTGGTAAAAAGTTTTTAATTTGTTTATTTATTCAATAAGCAAATAAATTAATGTATAAATTAATCCAACTAATTCATAAATCAATTATAATAAGTAATAAATTATATATGAAAATATAAATTATTTGAAAAGGAATATTAATTTATGTTAGCAAAAATGATTAGTTAAAACTGAGGTATGTGTAGTAAAAATGATTAGTTATAACTGAGGTATGTGTTGTTGTTTTTTTGTGAGAAAAAACATTTCTTTTCATGTCAAACAAATTGCAATAAGAGGTTAATCATAAATATTCTATAAAATATTTTCCTAGCATCATATATTCAAATAAAATCTAAACCTGCAAATAAAATTAAAAAAAAATGGATGAACCTGCAATCATTAAAGAAATTAAGTTAGAATGTTATTAGGAAAATATTCACACCTATTGGGCTGAGACAACACCTAGGAAAGAATGTTATTAGGAAAATATTCACACCTATTGGGCTGAGACAACACCTAAGAAAGAATGTTATTAGGAAAATATTCCCTACTATTGGGCTGAGATAAGTACAGAAATTCAAAATGTAAAATTATTCAGACTAATTGAATTTCTGCACTTATCTCAGTTTACTTATTTAATTGACCTGTAATAATTTTTTTACTAATTTAGTTTACCACTCACTTTATCTAAAAATAATATTTTACAGTGTATACCATTGATTGTTAACACCAAAAAATTTTATCATAACCCGAGGTGACTCATAATTTTAAACATTTGAGTCATCTAAAAATTGTTAAAAATTAATATTAAATAACTTACATGAGGTAATTCAAGTATCTTTTTTACTCCATTCATTAGTTCTTGTAAGTAGCTTGTACGCTCATTTATATCAAATAATGAGCGTCGAATAGATGCTAATTGGACATAACATGAGAGTGCCTGCAGAAGAAATATGATATAAAAATAATATAAAAAATAGAAAATAGAAATAAAACAGAGGAAATATAATAGAAAAAATATAATCAAAAGACAGAAGAAATATGATATAAAAATAATATAAAAAATAGAAAATAGAAATAAAACAGAGGAAATATAATAGAAAAAATATAATCAAAAAAAAAATTTAAAAAAAAGCTTTTTTTTTTAATGAAAATTTAAAAAAAAAAAAAATAGATAAAAAGTAATTGCATAAAAAATATAAAAAATAAAAAACAAAAAAAAAGAATGAAATTAATAATGAAAATAAAATAAAAAGTATAAACAACAAAGAAATTAGAAAAATTATTTAAAAAAATAAAATAATATATAATAAGGGATAATGACAGATAAAAACTAGCATATAAAACATAATAATATATGAAAATATCATAGAAAAAATAAAAGTTGTTTTTAAATAAGATGAAAAATAACAGACACTAAACTCCATATAAAAATAGCAATCAAAAATTATAACAAAAAAATAAAATAAAAATAACATATATATATAATATCAAACAATATATATATATACATATATATATATATATATATATATATATATATATATATATATATATATATATATATATATATATATATATATATATATATATATATATATATATAATATTAAACATAAAATATCAAACAAAAAACAAACATAAACATTGATTTTGTAGCAGATTTTCTTTTTAATTTAGTAAAAGATCATTTTAAACATCATAGTTTGACTCTTCTAAACATTATAGATATATAGTAAATAGATATATAGATATATACATACATAGATACAAACATACATACATATATATATATATATATATATATATATATATATATATATATATATATATATATATATATATATATATATATATATATATATATATATATATATATATATATATATATATATATATATATATATATATATATATACATACATATATATATAAGATGTAATTGACATTTTTATTAAAAAATCTATAAAAAAAAGTATAAGAAATAAACAAATGTAAATTAAAAATGTAAATTGAACTTGTTTAAGACATAAAATAAGGTTTTTATACAAAAATTAAAATATTATATTTTGGATAAATAAAGTAAGATGTCTTGATTCATTTAAGTATGTTGTTTTTGCAATAATTTTATATTGTTTTAGTGGCATTAATGGTCTATTCAAGTAATTGCTTTTATGTAATGTGTTATCTGACTTTTCAAATATAAAAAATTTCTTAAAATATATAATGGCTGATGATGATGATGGGTTTCCTCGTAAATCTCTACGGACTAGAAATGGTTCGAGTACTGTAAGAAAGAAAAATGAGAAGAGCTGCTTGATAAATACACATTGCAGAAGTACTCCTTTAATGAGATATACCTCTCCTAGGACTAGCAGGGATTGTCAAGCAGGGATTGTCAACCAGGAATCTCAGGTACATCCTGCAACATAAGTTTAGCTCCACAGAAAACTAATAAGTGTAAAAGAACAATATACATACTTCAGCATCCACTACATATGTTTGCACCAAATAGGTATTATTTTAAGATTTAATTAAAATAATGAATTAAAAAAGCTTTTTCTAGGTAAAAAACTTGTGAAACAAATATGTAAAGACTTTTTCTTTCCTTTTGAATTTTGCTTAGACTACCCACACTGGGAGAAGTTTGTCGTCGAATATATTGGCTCAGGTCAAATAAGATTAATCAAAATGCAAAACTATCCTGTGCACTAAAGACAATGTTAAGATCTATGCTTTGCATTGGAGGGAAGTAACAGGGGAGAATTTACTGGAGTATGCATTCTGAGAGAGCTGTTAAGTCTTTGGGACAAGGGTGGGTTTGATTCAAGATTTTGTGTTACGAAACAAGTAGAAACATGAAGAAGCTTGAAAAATCTTATGAACACTACAAGAAACTGTAGACAGAAGATATTGAATTCCTGAAGAGAGCATTCAAAGGTAAAATGAGTTTGACACTGGGAAAGATAAATCTAATCAAGAAAAAATCATAGACGGCAAAAAGCGAATGTTAGATATGATAGAAACATGCGTAGAGAAGAACAGCATAAAAAAGAAAAACAAGAAATGTCAAAAAAAAAAACTATTGAAGATATAGAAAGAATGAAAGATTTTGAGATAAAATTAACTTCAAGTGGTACGAGTGCCACTGATACCGACAGTAAATTTAAGTCGAGCCAAAAAAAAAAAAAAAAAATCAGTGAAGATAGAGTTTACATGGATCTTTCAATAAATGATGTTCTTGACAAGTGGGTTCCTTTCTTGACTAGGTACGAGATCCATGTTCAAGCTGAAACTTCCCTTCTTTCCTCACTTTTCAAGATTGGTGGTGTTGATCTTAATACAGTTCCTGTATCAAAGAGTAGTCTACATAGAAAAAAAAGGTTGTGATTGAAAATGAAGTTAGAATAGTCAGAGAAGAAAATCTAGACAAAGTTAGGGGTTTAAAAGTTGTCATTCATTTTGATACAAAACTGGTCAAATACTATCGAACTGACAAAAAAATGTCTGAAACTGTAGAAAGGCTAGCTGTCAGTATATCATCCTCCCAGGTCAATAAGGGGATGATATACTGACAGTATGGTTAAATCTAAGGGTTCAAAGGGATGAACCCTTAGATTTCTTGCTAGGAGCTCTAGAAATTGAGTCATCTAAAGGGCAGGATCAAGCTATAGCTATTCAGAACATATTAGAGTATTATGAGCTCAATGACCAGATCATTGGTTGTAGTGCAGATACAACAGCCTCTAATACTGGAAAATACAAGGGTGCAATTAAGTTTCTGGTGAATTATGTGCTTAAAAGACCTGTGCTATGGCTGCTATGAAGGTAATTAAGTATTTTGATTAAAAAATTTAAGTTTGTTGCACAAACCAGTTGCAAAATTTATACATTTTGTATCTTTTCCAAATTTTTTTTCAAGCATCATATATCTGAAAGGCATATTTCCCATGCAGTGGGTTATATTCAAGGTTCAACAAAATCTCAATCACGTGCAATATATAAAGATTTTCAAAAAAAAAAATTTTTGAGCTAATAGTCATTTACCTTGGTGGCCATGTACCTGGTTTCTAGTTCAAACAACCAAGTACCCACCATCAAGCAAGATTCATGGCTGATTGTCTATACTTGCTTACAATGCAGCTGACTTCAAAGATTAATTTAAAGTTGAGAGATACGCTTTGAGAGATTTAAAAGTGAGAGAGATATGCTTGAACTGTCAACTGACTTTATTGTCACATTTTATATAGCATACTTTTTAAAGTCTCCTCTGGCGACCCAGGCTCCATTACATGATTTGGATGCTTTTAAGCTAGCTTTTGAAATGATGAGCAATAAGCTATTTATTTCCAAGTATGGTCCTCTGGGAAAGCTGCTCCATGCAAGCTTGGTCCATCACAGCTGGTACCGGACCCTACAGCTAATTATTCTTTCAATAGCAAATCAACAATTAGAACTAAAGGAAAGAGCTAAACTCGCTTAAAAATTGCTAGGTTTTAATTGTCCGCAACCTGATGATTTTGGACAGGAACAACCTCACCCACCAACACATGGTTCCCATGTCAGTTTTGTCTGACTTAATCACTAAGGAGTCCTGGCTGCTCTTCACATACCTTGGTATAACTACAGAAGTAATAAACACATGGATAATGGATAATTTTGAAAATGATTGCTACAAACATTTTCAACATCAAATGGAGAATCTAGCAGAGTAAATGACAGGGCTAGTGACTCTGCAGGCATTAAAGCCCAAAAGCTTTTGCATTTTATATACTCTTAAACTCAAATAGTCAACTTTCCCACTCCCTTTCTAAACAACCTGAATCATTTATCTTCTCTACTCAACTAATGCCTTGTTTCTGATCCTAGCCAGTGCTCAGTTTCTCCACATTTACCTTTAGGTGCTTCTGATTGCGGTTTGATCTCTCTAAAACTACTATCTCATTCTTCTTCATCATCTGAAACCCCCTATCATTATACTTTTTACAACTACCTTAAAGCTGACTGAGACACTTACTGTGATTTTCTTTATAATGGCTTTTAGGTAGAAATCTTTTGTCTTCCTGCTGATAAATGTGCTTCTTACATAACTTTGTGGATTTAGGCTGGCATGGAATTTTTTATTCCTTATTGACAACTCCAGGTCAAGCCTCACTCTTCTACATGGTTTTCCTCACATTGTGCTGCTGCAATTTCTAATCGAAACCGTTACTTTCGTATCTATCAGCAAAACTATTCTCCAGAAAAACAGACGCCTGTTTATTACTGTTAGAAACTATTGAAAAAAGGTTTTGCCTAACGCCGAAGCCCACTATTTTCAGGTCATGAAATCTTGTATTTTATCACAAAAATTAGACTCTCTTGACTCAAGCAAGGTTTTTGAATCTTTAATTAACATACACTTAATCTCTCATCTTGAATCTAATAACTTACTTTCTGATCATCAATATAAAATTCGATCTTCTTATTCTACAGCTGATTTGCTAACAGTAACAACCGATAAGTTTTATTGTGCATTAGATAAAGGTGGAGAGCTTAAGGCCATCGCTCTTGACATTTTTAAAGCTTTTGATAAATTATAACATACTGGTCTTCTCCATAATCTTTTATCTTACGGTATATCTGGTAACATCTTTAAGATTATTGAGTGTTTCCTTTCGTAGTATAAAAATTGTCCTCAATAGACAGCACTCTTTTTCATATCCTGTATCTTCAGGGGTTCCTCAAGGTTCAATCCTTCGTCCTATACTCTTTTTAATTTACATTAACTTGAATGGAATCTCACTTCTGCTACAGCATGGGGTTCACAATGGCTGGTGAAATTTAATTCAGATAAAATTCAATTTTTTTTAACCAATCGTTATCGCAATAATTTAGATCTTCTTATATTTATGAACGGTAATGTACTCAATGAGTCATCTACTTCTTCTACATCTGCCC